AAAAAATAATCATGTTAAAAAAGAAAAAGAAAATAACAAATTATAAAATGACAATAATAATAAAAGGAAATATGTTTTAAAACTTACTTGACCAAATGGAGTACCAGCACTCTGAGCACAAGAAGGTATTGCTACTTCTTGGAAGAAGAGACTGAGTGCCATCTGAAAGCAAAACCAAACACAAAATAATAATAATAATAATAATAACATTAATAATTCAACACAAATATTACGATAAATTAATTCTATTTTTTAAATTTCGATTCTTTCAATGCTAAATTAACAATCTATCAATTATATATATTCTTAAATAATATATATATAATTAGGTTTTTATTGCACAACTTAGAAAGTTTTTTTTACAATGTCTTATCATTACTTAACTTATATCTCTTTCCTCACATTGTTTTGGTTTCTTAATTAATATAATATCAAATGTAAATTTTCTTTTCTTTCATTTTATTATAAATATAAATCGAATTATTTCAAATGTTATATCATTTCAGCTAACATAAATTACATATATATTATCTGCAATGCGACTAGGATGCAATTGATAAGTCGCGTGTCTTTCTAGCATAAACGAACAACATTACCTATCACCACCATAAGGGGAGGGGAGGGGAAAGGGGGTAAATTGAACAAGTTGTTTTTCAACTAAATTCTAATTTTACGAGAATACGAAATAAAATTCGTGTAAAGAGAATTATTCAATTGCGTGCCAAAAAGATCATCGATTCACAAAATTCTCTTCTCGTCTTTATTTATTTGGCAAAATTAAATGTCTCTTACGTTATAACAAATGTCTCCTTTACCACACTACCCCCCCCCCACCCCGCCCCTTCTAATCTTCTCGTTCTAATTTCATCTACACAACACACCTATCCTAGTAAATAGATAAATACGTACATCCGTATGCATAGACATACACAGATGCGTGGCTATCTTAAAATAACAAATAGGAATAGTAGTTATAGCGCGTGCGTATATGCAACACGCTTGATATAACAATAAAAAATAAACCACTTTGATTACACCTTAGTATATCTAATCAATCCATGAACTGTAATATAAATATAAATATAAAATAATAATATTAATAAAATAAATCAAAAGAAAATATATATATATATATATATTAATATATCTTCGTTTTTATATTGTGTTTGTTATATTTAACAAAAATTCTTTTTAATAATCTCCTATAACCCTTTATAATGATATTTTTACACAATTCAATCTAATTCTAAGAATAATTTATATATAGATGTTTGTTTAATATTTAAATCGTATCGATTGAATTGTTTGAAATGTAAGAAAATAAAACAACATTATATGTGTTTAGGAAGTCATCGTAGTTAAAACGTTTGAATGAAAAACTAAACTCTCTACTCACAAATAGAATTAAATAAAAAAATTGTATAAACGAATCATAATGTATAATACGATGACTACATTGAACTTTAACTTCTTATAAATACTCGGATTACATAATCGAAAAGGCAAATGGTAATAAATAACTTCCAATTTATTCTTCGAAGAACGTGACCACGGTTATTTTCACTACGATCTGCAACGAAGATAGAAAAATAAGATCCTTTGTTCTTGTTATTTAGACAAATTATTATTATTATTATTTACTATTACGATTTTTGTACATTTCTTAAAGAATGTTTTAATTCTTTACGTTCGAAGTGAAGTACGAACATCTATGCCAAGTTTGCATATCTATTGTTTTTTTGTATGTGTAAAAGATTAAAAATAGCTGCTGTTGGTTTAGCATGAATGATAGTGGGCATGCATCATTCCTGTGTGTGGTTGATACAGTCAATGCTACTATTTAAATTTATGTTAGTTTGTCTTGTTTGTTAGTATGGGATTGTTTTAGTTTATTGTGTTTGGGTTATATTTTTTATGATTACATTATTTTCTTTTCTTACTGTATTTATCATTCTTGTATAAGAGTTTTTCAAAGATCGTTTTATTCTACTAACAAGGGGACTTTACACTGGGATACCCATAGATTTAAAAGAGCTTTGGTATATTGGTAGTATATTATTAGGGTGTTATCATGGTAAAGTGTTTTAGACTAACCCGAAGTTATTTTTGAGAAAAAAGCTTTTAAAGTTTTGATTTTTTTGTATATATGTTGTGTAAATTGTTGTATTAAACAATTCATATCAATGAAATAGGTTTGTTACTAACAATATGATTTCTGTAACCGAGATGAGAAAAGACAATTCTCTGCTTGGATCTTCTTCAATGCCAGATGTTAATTTACTACGATGTCGTCGTGGGAAACTAACTTTTTAGATGGTCTCAAACACAAATAATTAATGTCCGAGGACACATGATGATTTTTTTTTTTATAAAATTTTTTCATTTCTGTATTGTATATACTTCGCATACGTTATCAAATATTCCGCGTTTAACTCGAAATTTGTTAACAGTATATATTAAATGCGTATATTATTATATTATTTTCTTTTTATTAACAAAATATTCCCCTGAATTTATTAATGAACAAATATTTTTTATTTATTTAAAATTTGATCTATATTATAGATTTTTAGAGAGAATTAAAGAAAATTTTATATACAATGAGTCCCAAAATTATGGGAACTCGTTGAAAAAACAGGTACGAATATTTCTCTGATTCATTGCATATTGTTTTCACATATGCATGTATATACAATTAATTAAGGATATAACTTTATTAGGAAAAAGATCCTAATATTATTATTAAATAAGAACAAAAAGGATGCTGTAAGAAGTTAAACAAAAAATATACCGACTTCGCCTACAAGATTTATTAGAACGTGTGTCGTAATCTGTAGTTAAATGCAGCATATTAGTGTGCAATCGGAGAAAGTTCCCAACCCAAATTCAACGAACGCACACACTTACGCGATCTTAATTGATTTTTTTAAATCTTAATTTCTTGTTCTCTTAATTCATTAGTTTCCTTATTACGAATAATTAAAGTATCTTCGTTATCGTTAATTAAGATGATATAAAAAATTGAGAAATTGGTTAATTGATTACTCGATATTCTAATTAATTATATTACTAATTTTGTTTTCCATTAAATATATTCAATATAAATCTTTAATTAATAGTAATAAAATTCATTGGCCAGGTGTTACGTTGAAATTAAAATTTAAATTTAAATTTAAATTGCAAAGCAAAATTAATTAATCAGGTGCATCTCTATACATATGTATATATATATATATATATATATATATATATATTTATAATGGAATATTATGATATAAACAATAGATATATATTTGTTTAAGATGTTCGGCATTTCTCTCACTCTCTCTCTTTTTTTTTCTTTCTCTCTCTCTCTCTCTCTCTCTCTCTCTCTTTCTCGTGAGAATCAACGAATCGATCGATGCATCTCTCTCTCTCTCTCTCTCTCTTCCTCTTTTTTTCTCATTCGTTTTCAACAAAGAGCCACCACTGTCGACGTCATTCCACTCTTACAACATTCTCCAGAGTAAACAAAGCTGCAACGTGGACGCGCACGAGCTCTCTAACTCGTGATTAGAACTTTATTTTTTATTTTTCTCCTCTTTTTTCAAGTGTGCATCAATTCGAAAATACAATAGAGAGAGACAAAGAAATTAAAAAATATTCGAATAAATCGAGTAATTAATTATCTCAATTAAATATCACAATCAGATAAACAATTGTTTTTTTATTTTTATTTTTACAAATTAATTATCGTTAAACGTAATCGCATTTCATATTATTTATATAATATTATGAAACACGAGACGGTGAGAAAAATTATTTAACATTTTTTCTTACTACGATTTTTATGAATGGGACTATAAAACGTATATATATATATATATATATGTGTGTATAAATGGCGTTCATTGACTTGCATAGCAAAACAAAAACACGTCGTATTTATGATTATTACGATATTAAATGAGCATTGTTTTCCAAAGAAAAAGTAATATGGAAGATAGAAAGGAAATTATAGATAATAATAATAATCATAAGAAATAATAATGATAATAATTAAAAGCAAAAGTTCGCATGTGCTTACTTACACTTGATAATATTTCACGGTAAAGTACTTACATATATATATGTATATATATGTATATATATATATATCTAAATATCTAAATCACTATCTATCTATCTATCTATCTACCTATCTCTCTATATACATGTATGGATATATAATATGTATATATAATAAGCAAGAAAGCAAGTAGAGTCGCCACCGTTCGTCGCCGTCGTGTCGGCCATTTTCGCAGCTTTGTTTACGTACACGAAGTGGCATCGAGCGGTGTACGCGTATGAAGTAGCGAGAAAGAGATAGAAATAGAGAAGGAGATAGAGAAGGAGAGTGGTGGGGAGGGGAGGGAAAGAGAGAGATGGAAATAGAAGATAATAATAAATAGAAAACAGAAGAAAAGAAAAGAAAAAAAAAATAATAATAATAATAATAAAAACAAAAGGAGAAAGTTCGACGATATAAATAAATAATAATAAAATGCAATTTCGTATAAATAAAAGAATATATATATATATATTAAGCTTAAAAAAAAAACAAAACATTTGAATTTACCTCGAATTGCCAATGAGTAGCCTGCAAGAACTGTCTTGCTTGTTCCCTGGCACAACCGGCAGCCAATACGAATTGATTGATCATCACTTGCTCGCGAAGAGGGTCCATCTTTCTTCCTTTATTTATTTTTCTTCCTCTTTCACCCCTTCCTCCTTCTCTTATCACCTCTTTTTCTAATCTCTTCGTATATAATAATAATAACGGGGATTTTATTTTTTATTAACTTATATATATATATATATATATATATATATATAT